GGATATAGCAAGGCTAATATGTAAGTTTTGTGTCTACAGTTGTAGCTGCTGTGGGGTTCTAGCATAAGGTACATGCAAATACTTGCTTTCCTGTATTTAAATCTGATTTATTTTTTCTTACAATCTGCAATTTTAAAAATGACTTATTTTAAAAGTTTCTGTCATGTGGACATTCAATCTGCTTTTCATACAGATCTTGCAACACTATGGTGATAAATATAGCTAACTTAGCTGCTGGCAGTACTGCTTGTAGTATGTGTATATGATTTGATCTTGGAAAGAATACATACCAGTTAGTTTTTACACTCTCTTGAAGCTTTTCTGTGCATTGCTTTGTGACTCGTCTCTGCTTAGTTGGTAGGATTGTCTGTTCCTGGTTTTGTTTTGTGTGCTACCACTGGGGTGGATTTTCAAAATCTTGAGTGCCTGGTGTGATATCTGCAGGATGTAAGTGGTGAGCACCTTGTGGAAATACAGGCTCATTCGGACCCATAATATTGTGGGTCACCAAAGTTATAGTAAGGCTTAGAAAATTTAAACTGGTCTTTAATCACATCTAGGATGTTACACATTTATTATACCTCTTATCTTTGTTCTGCCTTTTTATTAAATGGGAAGTCAGTGGCCAGTGGGAAGAGGAAGAATGGTGTAATCAAGGGCAAGAGGGACGGTCCGAGTGGAGAGGAAGACCTCGAACAATGTAGCAAGGCACTGGAAAGGTTGAGAGCCTGTGGTGAGTGGGCAGGACCCCAGTTGGACAATTGACTTTGTACAGCATTGAAGGATGGTAGGAAATTAGTCATTATGACTCACTATGAGAGAGTTGTACTCTGACGTTATTAACGGGGCTCAGAAGCATTTGTGTTAGGTTAGCTGTGACAAATCCTGTCTGTAAGGTGCAAGGGGAGGGATGCCCCTCTTCCCAGAAAAGCTGGCAAACCAAGGTAGCTTTTAGACTAAGAGGTGGGCATTATGAAACAATGGGGCTATGATGCCGTGCTGGGAAGAAGCAGCTGCAAGTATCTTTTTTAACCTTCGTCCTTGAGGTTTTGTCAGCAGATTTCAAGGAATATGTAGAAGAAAGGTGCAATGGATGGAAGATGTTTGCTGGGAGCTCTTGCTAAGGGCTGGGCACCGCAGGGTAGAAAAGCAGTTCCTCTGGCAAGTGGACAGATGCAGGCTGGCACCAGTATGAGATTGGAAGCAAAAGGAATGTGCTGATAATGAGGGCAAGAGGAAGGATTAGGCTGTTGAAAATGAAGGCAAGAGGTTTGTGAGTGTCCAAGGGAGAGGGGAGAGAGTGAAGGAATGGAGAGGTGATGTGGGGAAAGGGTGCTAGCATCAGGAACCTGAGCTGGTGGAGGCCAGGCTTGAGTATGGTCATCTGACTGGAAGGAGATTGCTGCACTAACCCTGTTGTTAGATAATGAGACTTCTAATGGAGCATTTGCTACTGGAGTGGAGAAGGAACCTGTACGTTGGAGGTGCTGTGATGCAAGAAACCATGTGCTTAGATGTACCCTGGATGAAAAGACCTTCTGCCTGTGACAAGGGGCATATACAATGCTGGTTTCCACACTGGTCACAAAAGGAGAAGGGAATGTACTTGAGAGTAGCCTTGTTTTGGCTGATTAGTTGCTGACTTGGATGTCAGGGAGAGATGAGCCAAGAATGTCTTGGAATGAATTCACGTGAAGCTACTGAATGGAGCTGTCGGGATCTGCGATGCCAATATTTTAAAGTCTTAAAAAGAGAAGAGAGAGGAAGAAGACTCCCCTGAAAGATGGAAAAGAAAAAAGTACTGAAGAAACTGACGATAATGCTGTAGGATTAGCCTGCCCTGTTAATGCTCCTGCTATCATTTGGGCCAATTTTTTGTCACTGAGCAATAAGTAGTCTAGGAGATCTTCCTTTCTCCTTTTGAAATGCAGATCACTTTTTTAGGCAAGGTTAAACGGAATTAGTCAGATGGCACCAATTCAACACCTGCTTAAAGTTTTGCGAAATCAGTGTTTTGGTAAAGTGGAGCTGAGAGGACAGCTGTGGTGGAATAGATTTGGGCAGATCTGCACTCTGGGTAAAGCAGCATGAGACTGGCCATAAATAAAGTAAATCCAAAGTCTGTAATAACCTTGATGTTCAGCTTGCTTGGTTCATCTGGTTACTTATATTTAGAACAGAACACCTTCAGTATTCCCTGGGCACCACTTTGTCAAGAAACTTTTCCTTGAAAACGGAAAAAATTGTGCCACGAGTGCACTGGTTTTGTGGACCCAGTGCAGACCGCTTGTACTGTCTCTCAGACTGCGGTTTGGGGATCACCACTATACCCCTTTGCTGCAGCACAAAGGTAAGTCTCTGCGCTGGGGTAGGAGTTTGCTCTGGCAGGAAGGTAGATTGTTAAACATGACATCCAGAGCATAGTAAGTGCTGAAAGAAAAAGCTGCCTAGCAACCCTGTGGGCACAGGGGGAATGATTCTTACTGGTGCAAAACTTCGTCATGGTTGACAGAGCTTCTGCAAGACAGGGCAATTTTTCGTACCCCAATTAAGCTAGTCCTCAGCTAGATATTTATGTATTTATTTATTAATTGTTCATTAAAATAGAGTATATCATGATCTGTATTATGTGATTTGAGAGAACAAAACAAAATGAGACCTCGGTGCAGAATTTTTCAGGCTTACTGTGTAACTGAAGAATTCAGCTGGCGCTTGGCCGTAGAGAATGGCAGGCTTTGGCAGGCGCAGAGGAATTTCCTGGGTTATGAAAAGAGAGCACTGGCACAGGAGAGATCGCAGATACGGCAGATCTTAGAAAGTGATTGAAAGTGGAATTCTGTCCTGGTAAATCGGTTGCTTGATGTGGAAAACCACCTAGGTTTCTGACAGCCCAAGCACAAGAAGGCCAAAAAAAGGAGAAGAGAAATATGTAGAAAGTACATGATGAGAAAGTGTTTTATTGAGACTTTTTTTGGTAATAAGCTTAAATCAGTTACGCTTTTAGAATGTTTTTGTTAGCTGAGTATTTTTTTACTTACGGTATTAGCAACTACAGTCTGGTTGGAAAACGGAGATCATCTTTATCTCTCAGAAATTCAAGAATCCCTCAGTCTTCTATAAATAACAACAGAAGCCTTAAATAGAAGGGGAAACACATGATAGTACATTTTTTTCCCCCCATATGTAAATCACATGGACTCAAATACTTGATATGATGTGATGGTTAAAATTAGGGATAGATTGAAGGGAAATACACTGTTGATGGCGCATAGTGTGAAATATGATAACTTCTAAACACTGTTTTTCTACTTTGGGAAATGCAGCTCTTGTTGAAATATGGCTGATGCTACTATTTTTCTGTTTTTAAACTTTTGCAGGCAATTAGCTCTAGTGACTTTGTTAGCATATAGCAATGGAAATGCCTATTTCTCGTGGAAGTCTGTACTTTTCTAAAAGAAAGTGTGACTTTGGAGGTATGTGGAGAGGAATGCTCCTCTGAACTGAACTTGCATTTTGGACTATCTTTGTAGGATTTTAAGCTAACCAGCACTTAGATTCTGCATGTAAATGTTCTTTTTTAAATTTTTTTTTGGAAGGGGGAAAGCCCAGACATTTTAAGAGTGTGGCATAGGTTAGATTTCGTAGGCGTTGATAACTTCAGACTTTCACTTCTTGTTTTCAAGCTACCTCATATTGACCGTTTTATGTCTACTCGCCTAAATAGACTCACTTAAAAATTCATGGGTTTTTTTTTATTTTTTTGGTTGTTTTTAATTTTATGCTGCATGGTGAAAAAGTAAATCGTATGCTGAAATTCAGTTGCAGTCTGTGCCATCTAGCTGTTGATTTAAAAGAAGAACCCACAAGCAGCATGCCTTTTGAAAAGATGCAGTCTGGTTTATTTCTGCCTAATTTCATTTTACCTCTATTTTTGCCTTTGGTGACATTTTCTGAGTGCAGACCATTCCTGGGCACGTGAAGACAAATCTTGAGGCCAGTTGCTGTAGCTGGTTCTTGGTCTTCCGAGGCTTAACTCTACCAGGGGGAGAGGGCTCCCGAGGGACAGCGAGTTTGAGACCCAGCAGGCAGCGTGTTACAGGGCTGACCTAAATCGAGACAGTGTGGACAATGAAAGGGGTGGCGCTTGGCCTTTTGTGGGAAAGTGTTGGTGGCACAGGAGTTGCTGCTACGCAGGCTCTGCCTGCCTGTTACGGTACCGCGTTTGTGTGTGCAAAACTTGGCTGAAGTTGAAGAAGTTGAGATGCGCTGGCTGCGAGTTAGTTTTCAGTAATTCAGTACTTCCTCAAAACTAATCAAGCGTGTAGCCTCTTCTTGAAGGTTGTTTCTCAAGAACAGACATGAGTACTGGGGGGTGTTAAGCTCTGGACATAATTTATGCAAATACCTTTCCAAAATAAAAATTTGAGAAGCACGCCTAAACTCTTCCCCTTTCTGTAAAAATTCTTTTCCTTTGCCAACTGAAACATGGGGTATATGTTGAGAAGCAACCCAGAAGCAAACAGATGAGAGAAATCTGTAGCTAATGCTTTAATTTCAGTGGTCATTTCTTTGTAAACTAAAGGTTCATACTGAGTTATTTTCTTTGTTACTCATTTTCACTAGGTAGTAAATATTTACAATTTCAAAGGCTAGGTGTTTGTGGTTGTTTTCCATAGCCATCTGATTTCACTCTCTAAGTATTACTTTGGTGTTTCAGCATCCTTCTAGTTTTCAAATGTGTATGTGTGCAAAGCGTAGCTTCTGTAGCCATGTAGGCTACAGAAGCTGCACTTCTGTAGGAATGGACCTCTCTGTGATTGCATTGCTTCTGTAAACATGCAACTGTCCAAAACAGTTGAATCCTTGCAGTCAACTTTTCTGGTTATGTTTGTTTTTTTGACAAAAACCCACAGGACAGAACTTGTGCTTGATGTGAAAGTGTCACTTTGCACCATGGTTAAGGCTGAGAGCAGTGTGACAGATTTTTCTTCTGTCCTTAGGTCCTTTCTCACAACTTGTGCACGGTTTTAAATGTTCCCCACGATCCGGTGGCCTTGGAAGAGCACTTTAGGGATGATGATGAAGGACCTGTTTCCAATCAGGGTTACATGCCTTATCTAAACAAATTCATCTTGGAAAAGGTAAGTTTTGAATTCTACGTTATATTTTTTCCTTTGTCAGGTTTTGTATCGGAGTATCTTTACAGTAAACTTCTGCTTGCAGGAATCATGCTGGTGTGAAGACACCCTGGTTGTGAGTGGGCTTGTGTGGGCTTGTGATGGGGTGGGTGCTCTAGAGACCCTGTGCCTTAAAATGGAAGGGCGCACTGTTCTTGACTTCCCGCCTTAATTTCTGGTTGCACCTGGTTATTGTCTAAGCTGTATTCATGAAGAACTGTGTTCATATTAATAAAGCACCTTGACCTGAATTTGTCTGAAAATGTCTTGGAGCTATAGATTGTCCCACTTTATGCTATGGCTGTAACAATATTGTCATAGACTCCTTTGCAAACAGGAAGGGCAAAAATATATTTAATGTCTATTGACAAGGTATTTTAATAAATAGTTCCCTTCAAATAATTACAGTGGGTGACACCAGGAAGTGTTTTGTCTTGCAAGGTCTTTCCTCTTGCGTCTGAACACTCTTCGGTCTTCTGTTGTGCCTTGATTTTGGGGAAGCTCTGGAAAGCCAGCAGACTACTCTCCTCTCCATCTTGTTCTAATAAAGGTAGTCACGGAGTTTGAAAGTAAAAACCTCGAACAACTGTCTTCCTCCTTTTTTTCTGATAAATTCTGTTGAGATACTGGTATAGACGGTAAAAAACAGCCCACATGGCAGTACAAACACAGCAGCTACAGTACCATTGATTTTTCATAAACTTGGGGGCCAACCCCAGAAACTCTCCAACTTTGATGCAGCTGCAGAGATACGTAGGTGTTTGCTTTCTTTTATGACATCGAGAAGTCTTGAACTGGCATGCTGCTGAGAAGGCCAGTGCAGCAATTGCAGATTATGCAAACTTTTTTAGCCCGATTTGCTGACTTTTCCTGCCTCTTCAATATACATTTAATACTGATGGAAAACGTGATATATATAATGCAGTCTGGCAGCTTGGAAGCAGTAGAAGCTTCTTGTATTTAGCTGAGACTTACCAGCTGCTTTGACTTTCTAGTGTGTGTTTCTCTTACACTCAGTAATAGGGCCCTGGTTTATGTGTGGGAGTTTTTGGCTGTTAATACACGTAAAGGTACGTGCTTAATGTCTTGGTTGTTTGGTGCTGAAGAATCTTGCTTTGTCCCTAAGAAGTGTGTGATCTCATTTCCACTTCATGTTGGCTGTCTGAGCTCCTGTAAGGATCAATGGAGATCAAGCAGTTTGTATACAAATTTTTTGGGGAAAGAAAAGGCCTTACTTTATTTTGACCAAAGGATTACAGTACTGGAGTCTGAACCACAGTGAGTTTTGTTAATACTGTTTGTAGGCAGTAGCAAGCCATTATGTTTAAAAAAAAAAGTGCGATGGAAGGCTTTTCAAATATAAACGTGCTTTATTGTTAAGAGTTAATAGGAAGAATAGTTATGGAAATGAGGAGCGATTGCATTTAAATAACACTTTAATTTGAAAATGAAAGACCTGGCTACATAAACAAGTTGGTGTGAATTTACAGTGTTTAGCTGCTCCGGGGCACCTTCTTACCCAGTGGTAAAAACAAAGGACAAGCAATGTTGCTTTCTCATGAAAGGGAAGGGCATGACTGTAGTTTCTTGTGTTGTTTTATTCATGCACTGATATGGCTTCCGATAATTGCCTGATATACCCATACCATTAGTTCATCTTAAAGGATGAAAATGTTCTGGGACAGGATGAAATGACCGGTAACTTTGTATTGTATGATCCTGACTAAATGCTTTTAAACAGCTTAGATACGTGCTATTCAAAATTACTTAAATTTTTTAGACAGAAGGCTATCTTTGTGGACCGGAAAAATCCTGATTGTGACATCTCATCTTCCAGAGATGACTTCACATCAGTGCCAAAAAGCAACGTGTAGTGGGATGAAGTCACTGGTTCATAGCATGTGTCCTTTGTTTAAAATAAACAAGCAAAAAAAAGCAAACAAGAAACCCCTTCTTTGTTCATTCTTCCAAGGTGTAATCTGTTCTTTTAAATGGGGTGATTGTAGAACAAATGCTATTAATTTATGCTAGTAAGCAAAGCTACTGAAGAGGGACTGATGCTTTATACCACCAGATACAGAGGAAGTTATCTTAATTTCCAGTCATACATCTTCTAGTGAATTAATTGATTTGAGCAAGAGAGGGTTTTTTTGGTATCAAGATATTTTGCTTTAAAACATTAGTAAAATATTTAAAGAATGAATCTTCAGATTTCTTCTAAAATAGATATGAAACTGTGACATAATTTTATTGAGAGGCCTTTGTAACGTTTGGAAATAACCTTCTGTTGTACTCTTAAATGCAGTTGTAGCTTTTATATTTTTTAGTGCTGGATTACCCTGTGTTAGCCTGCAATAAAGGCTCTTTACATAGAACGAAGGAGTTGTCAAGAAAAGCACAAGTTGATAGTTCAGTGGCGCAGACTGGTTGCAGCTAATTTCCTTTATCCAAATAGGGTATTTGAATAAACAGTTTGAATCATTAGTGTTGCCTAATATTTTTTTCAGTCTTGTGCTGCTTGTTACTCAGCAAATAGATGTATCTAGATTTTTCTTGATTTGGAAACAAAATTTCAATTGGTATTAAAAGACTTACAGAACAAAAATAAAAGGTTTCCTTGTCAATGATGGTGATCGTGGTATTTTACAACATGCCTTATTTATATTGGAAAGAGTCAAAATAGGGGGAGACAGAGGGCATCGTTCTAAACCTCAGGTTATCTCATCTTCCAGACAACTTGGCGAATGCTAGTTACACTACCAGTGCTTGTTTTATTTTTGGAATTGATCTGATCACTGATTCTTAAGCCCAAATATTTTCTACATTTCCTTATGTTTTAGAGTTACTTGATAAAGATATTGATGATGGTAAATTAGACTTTGCATGTTAGTAGACATTAAAGATCTAGAAGATTGTATGGGCTTTTGCTGCATTTTTCTATTGATTATTTTGTGAAACTTCTTAGAAAGAGAAGGTAGGTCTCTTTTACAGATTGTGTTTTTATCTCCATGTGTTTAAGCAGTTTCAAGGTTGGGGGTGGTCAGTTCATTTGCATGTTTCATCATTTGAACAGATTCACAAATAAAAGTGTTAGTTGCTGTAGAATTAGTGTGGAGTACTGTAGGAGTTTCTAAATGAAATGGTGACTTGTAGTAATTTGAACAAATTATGAAGTACAGTTAAAAGCATGTACTAGTGCCCATGAAAAATCTCTTGTACAAGGGTTTGTTCGTTAATTAAGCAGCAGAATTATGTGATACTCATGCAGGTTGCAAGCAGGATGAGTATGCTGCCTAATCGCGGTGGCAGTAACACGCTGCAGGGGACCTGGGCTTCACACGAGTTTGAGGTGCACACAGCAGACTTTGCTACGTGAGCAGAAACCATGACTTTCCTTTACCTCGGCCTGGAGCCTGGGCCTTTGTCCACCCGTCTCCCCCTGGTCATTGATTGCTGCTGTGCTTTAAAACACGAGCTGCTCATAGAGTGACCCACCTTATTTATAGTGCTCAGAGCGCTTGCCCGGTGGTGGCTGTATGAAGGGAGATTTCCTACCCTGTCAGCATCTTCCTTGGGAGTGATGTAGCCACTGGGACATTTCCAAGGTGGAACTGCTTGACAGTTGCTTATCAGAAGCTGTCTTAGAAAAGAAGTCAGGCTTCATTGGGTGGGGTGGGGAGGCAAAAGCCCAGGCGAAAATAGCCCGGGGTGAGGCGCTGGCAAATTGGAGGAAGGAGAAGGGGAACCTGGCTTCTAGCCCTTCTTCCAAAGAGTGTTCATTTGTTTAGCTGCAATTTCATTTACGATGTGTGTGAGCAACCAGGGTGCTGAGCTTGTGGCTATAGCAGCTGTAGCTCCTGCAGCTTCCACCTCCTTCAAAGGGCAGCTATAGTCTGTAGCAGAAATAGCATTGCTAAACTGTAGAGAGATAAATGGATTTCATCTCTATCATAAACGAGGGTTCAAAAAGAAAATAGAGAAAATGAAGATTTTATATATGTAAATAATTCACAAATGAGTGTGTACAGTTGTTACATATCATAAAGGATAATGAAAATGATTTTTTTTGGTCAATGATTTGCAAGGAAGGGATTTAAGAGGATTAACATTCAAGAAAAAAATATTACATATTTATGCATATTCTACAAGAGTTATGTTTCAGTAACACAAAGTAAAAAAACATATTAAAGGTCTTTCCCTGCTATTGTTCCAATATCATTTTTAGCATACCCATTTGTAGTTTTGGCCATATTCATTTCCACATTTGCTATATAAAATCTAAGCAACTCTGCAATAGGAGAGCAGTTGGAAGTAGGACCGTTAAGAGGATGATTTGGGAGCTAAAGCTAATGTGCTAGAGAAAATGCAGAATTCAGTGTAGCCTCCTTCACGTGAAGTCAGGGTGTTATTAACTCAACCAGGAATTGGAGGCTGAATGTAGATTTTGCTGGAAGAAGTTCCATAGTTGAACCCATGCAGGAAGTTAGGCTCATCTGCTACAGTGCTTGTTTTGGGCCTTGACATTTCTTGCCAACTAGAGTTTTCATGGTGCTTTTTGTATGACTTAGCCTGTTAAACTTTGCCTTTTATTCAGTGCCATTTGTGCATGGGTTTTTTTTGTTCATCTTTTTAATTTTAGGTTCAAGGAAACTTTGACAAAGTTGAATTCAACAGGATGTGCTGGACTCTCTGTGCTAAAAAGAACCTCTCTAAAAGTCCTTTGCTGATTACTGATGAAGATGCATTTAAAGTGTGGGTTATTTTTAACTTCTTATCAGAGGACAAATACCCTTTAATCATTGTACCTGAAGAGGTAAGAAGCAGAAACTTAAGCCGTTTAACACCAGTTTGCTTAATGTCGCAATTGAACTCTGTTAATGTTTGCTACTCTCTAGAGATTCAAGAGAGAATAATTGTTTAATATAAGACTTCTGTTCCTCTCTTTTAATGATGTAAGGCCTTGGGTTCCCTTATTTGTCTTCCAGGGGGCATATGCAGGGATTCCTACAGGATATTTAATGCTTTTTGTGAGGACTGACTGGTGCCAGGGAGATTAGCTCCAGTACCAGCGTTCTGAGCTGTTGGGTTCTTGCGCATTGCTCATGAGTAGTGCCTGTATGTGATCTTTAATCACTGTGCTTGCTTATGTGTGATTAACATTTTGCACAGTTAGTACATCCATGTGGTTCTGAAAAAAATTCTTCCCTGTGCTCTGTGTTACCGTGACTTGCAGGATGAGTGTTCAGTCTCACACCACCCTCCTGATGAAAAGGAGAAGTATAAACTTTACTGATGATGTCTGTTTCTGATGAAAAGCAGCCACCACCTGAACACTCTTGCTTTAAATGGTTGAAGGAATAATACTGGAAAGATGTCTTTAACTTCACGAACAAGTATGAGCAGCACGCACATAGGTGTATTAACCCTGAAGCAAGATTTTGGTATTTCTACTATTCTCCCCTTGGGAAGGAACGAGGGAAGAAGCAGAAAGATCAGAACTGTGGGCATAAATAATCTCTTGCAAAACTGTGTAAAGAAATCCCAGGGGTTTGCGGTTCAGAAAACTAATGAATAAATATTTGCAAATTGTTGAATAGTCAGGGATCAAAACGGTTTGATTTCCATGCGACTACGACATAACTGTTGGACTCCAGGCTGTTGTGTCCAACCATAAAGTACAGAGAACTCCCCTATCAAAATAAACTGCTCCGTTTTACCTTAAAACTCACTTTTTATTGGGAGACTTGGACTCTGTACAATATTTCTGGTTTGCCAGACTGGTGATGGCAGGGCTCTTCCTGGCATGCTCTATTTCCATGAGACAGTCATCTTCCTTGCTTTCCTGTTTTTGCTGTCAGTTCTGGGAGATGGGGATCATGGTTATAAAAGCGAAGACATCTCTTTTCTTAATGATCCCAGATTTGGCTTTGGTAGAAGGTCAGAGCCACTAATAAATGTCAGAACTGGGACTCACATCCACGTCTCTGGTTTGCCGTTGTGCTCCCCGCTGTGTGGCTGGCTTACGTAAGGGCAGATATTCCACATCTGCTGCGCTGCTAGCGTGGTTAGAAGCTTCAGACCTGCCAGCTCTGCCCACTTGCTCCCCCTCCGCCAGGCAAGCGCCCAGATCCATGCTGCCTTCTGTAGCTGATGCCAGGCCATGGCAATAGGTCTGTTTGTTGACAGACAGGCTGCAGAGTCGGCCTGAGCCCAAAAGACGTTTCCCGGATTTCTTAGCTGCTATTGTTTGCTTTCCTTCCCATCCTTAACGTCCAGGGTTAACCTGTATTGCTCTTCTGCTTGGATTATTTTTAAAAGTCTCAGGGTGGATCTGTGTCTGCATCTCCTTGATTACAGCAAGATTGAAATTTTGCAATACTGTTTAAAGAAAGCTTATATAGCCTGGCAAAGAAAGGCTGCTCTGTTCTTATCATACCCAATGCCTATCTTCACTCTAACCTTTTGCCTTAGACCACACAGGTGATGTAATCAGGCCAGTGGAGGAACGCTGTCTGTTGAACACACATCCTTCTGGTTTGCATTGGTCCTCCGCAGGTTCTCTGTGCTTCTGGAAAATTCCCTACTTACTCATTTACCCTTTTAGACAAAATTCCAAGAGTAAAGATGCAAACTCTCAGTTTCAGTTGGTTTTGCCTTTTTCTTTGTGTGACCTTTCATACCTGAAGAGGAGGATAAAGAAAACAATAAGGCTGAAGATGATAAGGAGAATGAATTGACAGTGGAAGTCAAGTCTTTAAAGGAAAGTAAGGGTGATATTGGTCTTTTAGGTTCTTATGTCTGGTTTTTGTATGTTAAATCTAACAGATTTGCAAAGCATTTTTTGTACAAGCTTGCAATTGTTGTCTTAGTAGTGAGAGTTTCTACCAGAAAATCACAGAATCACAGAACGTTAGGGGCTGGAAGGGACCTCTGAAGATCATCTAGTCCAACCTTCATCCCAGCATACCTAACCACCATAGCCTCAAGTGCTACATCTACTTTTTTTTTAAACGCCTCCAGGGTTGGTGACTCCACCACCTCCCTGGGCAGTTTTATTTTATTTTATTGGCTCTGAAAAGAGCCTTTGTGTTCTAAGAGAGCAGCCTATGACCAAAAACAAGTTTAACCACCGAAACCGTAAAGGGTGCGTCCCTGGCGCTTGAGGGCGTACACCACATCCATAGCCGTGACAGTCTTGCGCTTGGTGTGCTCCATGTAAGTGACGGCGTCACGGATCACGTTCTCCAGAAAAACCTTCAGGATGCCGCGCGTCTCCTCGTAGATGAGCCCAGAGATGCGCTTCACGCCGCCGCGCCGAGCCAGGCGGCGAATAGCCGGCTTGGTGATGCCCTGGATGTTGTCGCGCAGCACCTTGCGGTGGCGCTTGGCGCCACCCTTGCCGAGCCCCTTCCCGCCCTTGCCTCTACCAGACATAGCGGCGACTCACTCAACCCAAACCCAAGCATTTTCAATCAGTATTCAAAATTATACTGGTAACTAGTAAAGATATTTTTCTTTCCATTTACATTTTGTGCCTCTTGAGTTCATAATAAATCTTGATTATGTGTTTAGTCTTCACCACTTTATATTGTATCCTTCTATTTAATTACAAAATGGCTTGCATGTCACGTGTAAGGTGAGGGGGGGATTGTTGCAAAGTGAAGAATAGAGAGGTGTGATGGGAGCACTGCTGTTTTGTGATGTTTATATTTTGGTGAGAGCAGTGTGTCACTGTCTCACGGTCACAGGGGTGACTGTCGCTTCCCAGCCCGGGAACAAGCTTTCCTTCCTCCCCTGTCTTTGCTCTTATCTTTGGCTGACAGTGTTGCAACACCATTTACTGCAGTTTCTGGCTCAGAATCCTTTGTGTGGGATCCAGCTGTTTTCCTTTGTCCCTTCTTTCCACCCTGTAGGATTTTGGATTTTCGAGACTTTGTTTCCCCCCTTTATAAGTAAATAAGAAACTTGTTTCATACGTTCAGGTTGGAAGAGTAATCCCTTGAAGATTTTTGCATCACATCTTGTGGGTGGAAAGATTATAAGAACTTCTTAGGTCTCTAGTGATAGTGAATGTGTTGATACAACTTCATGTAGCTGTGAGGTCTCTCTTTGAAACCTGCTTGGAAGTCTGATTTTGTTTTTTCTCTTCTTTTTTTCCAAATGAGATAAGTGATTTCTTTCTTCACATGAACAATTTCATATCTGGACAACTCTCATGTTTGGGTGCAGTTTCACCTTCTTTGGACTGAGCTGACCAAAGACCGAGGCTGCCATCTTTCCTACTTGCCTGTGTTGGCTACTTTTGCACTAATGCTGTTGTGCCAGGCCCTTCATATTAGACAGCTAATGCCCATGTGCGAAGTGTTAAGTCTAGGTTCCCTGCCCAGGTGTTGAACAGGTATCAAATTGAGAACAGCTGCAGCTCCACCAGAGAAGGGAAAACAGGCTACTTTCGAAAAGATTTGGAGACACAGGCTGAGGGAATCTTTAGAAAGAGCAAAGCAGTTACAAAGAGGGAATCTGAAAGCTGTGGAGAGGTGACACAGAGGCCAGACTGAAAGCCAGAGGTGGCATCTGGCCTGCACTCCTCACCTGCTGAGGGAGGAGAGATGGCAGCCCTGCACTTGAAGGAAATAAGGTTAGTAAAATCCAGCATGAGGAATGGCTTGGGTGAGGTTGTGCAGTTTTGGGATGTGACTCCAAGCTTGAGAGATGCCTTTGTGTTACAGGGGGAACTCAGGTTGCAGAGAGACAGGTGGTGGCTGTACAGGGCTCGGTTAGTAAAATGGCCTTGGGCTCCCGTGTTGCTCCTGCAGGCTGCTGGTGGGAAGCTGAGAGCAGTTAGGAGAGTTGGAAAGCAGCAGAGATTCATGGGTGTCGTGTTTTGTGAAGGTGCTCGTTTCCCAGGGAAGCGTAATGAATGGTAGCAAATCTGAATGCTGCCTCCACTTGCAAGCGAGAAACCTTGGCATGCACAGAGTAAAACACTTCTGAGAGCTGGGTAGATGTGATATTTAAAAGAGATAGGGATGGTCTGGAGGAAAATAATGCTGTATGTTGCTTGCTTTAGTTAAGGTTAGTCCTGATGGGCAGCTTTCGGAATTAATACAATTCTTGGCTAACAAGAGTTAGCCTGGTGCTGCCTCCTGGTGCAGTGGGCAGAACTTCATCCTGCTAATGCACCTGGAAAGCGAGGGGCTGGGTGGGAGATCCTTCCCCATCCCACATCTGGTCTTTTCCACTTGATCATCTGAGATGCAGACATTCAAATGTGTGTTGTCTTCAGCTCTCACAGGATAAAATAAAGAGAAGAAAGGTGGAGAGAACTGTAGTCATAAGAGAAGAAATATTTCTAGTCTGTCATGAGCTTTCTTTACAACTCACCTCTTCGTTGTTAGACTCATCTGTGTGCCTTGGTGGTTTTTAACCAGACGTTTTCTGTTTTATAAAAAAGTTTCCAAACACTTCCCCTTTCTTATTTTTGGACATGTGACTGCAGCCTTGGGAATGCTCTATGACCTGAAAGCTATGGTGTGTGGTCAGCTGTGTGTCTGGGCCATCCTTTGTGGTGAAACTCGCAGATAGGTACACTGCAAGCTGCACACTCTTTGCGTGTTGTAATCTAGTGTTCACATAACTTGTTTTAAATAAGCCAAACATATTTGCTGTCTTTTTAAGCCTGGCTTCTTGAGGAAAGAAGATTTGTACAGTCATTTTTCACTTGTTCTCTGGCCTTTAACTATATTAACATGTGGCATTTCTAATCTTCCTGGTTAGGACAAAGAGGGTCCAAATCTTCACAGAATCGCAGAATGTTAGGGGTTGGAAAGGACCTCAACTCCCTTCTGAAGCAGGGTCAACTTTATATGGCTTTCTGTGCATTTCAAAATGAGGTGGTGTTTATTTGGATTGAGGAGGTGAAATTCTGAAACTGTCCAGTGGTGATTCTTTGGGAGGCATTTCTTACAGAAAGTTTTTTGTGACGTTTGCTTCCTTATTCTGCATTCTAGTATCAGAAACTGCTACGGTGAACGAAATACTGGGAATTGAACCCTGGCCATTCAGAAATGAAATGAAAACTGATACAACTTGAATAAAGGCTGCTTGTGTGGGGTTTTATTTGACCCATGATCTCTACAAGTTGATGATGATTGTTAGAAAGACCTTTTTAGTCACTTAGGGATTGCATCAGTTCTTCCCATTTCACTATTTTTTTCCTTGATGGCTGCAAAAATATAAGACAGTTTTCAGCTTAAGCTGCAGGTTTTCCTTAGGATTTACAGGTTTACATATTACACTGTTTTTTCAGTTCATCTTTATTATACTACTTGATGCTAATTTAATTTAAAAAAAAGGAAAAAAGGGGATGTAATTGCTTTAATGTCTCTTGCCCCGTAACATATGCTTCTACAGAATTTTGTACAATGTGAGTTGAGTTTCTACATCTGCACTGTTAATATCACAAACCTTATTTGAATAGTATGAACCAGAACAGCCTTGTCTGCTGTGCTCTGCTGGGCATGAAGGCCTACTTGATGTTGTTTTTCATCTTCTAAGAGACCCACTTGTATATCAGAAAAATATGAGAAACATTTATGATACTTCATTCCTCCTGAAGGATAGTGCCAGGAATACCTGGAAAAGAAAAACAAATAGGTATTGAAACACGGGAAAAGAAAATGCTCTCTGAAAGAAGATACCAAACTGGCCACATGGCTCCTGTTAAAGAGCCTCTGTTCTTTGTGTTATTTTTTGCTTTTCCTTGGCAAAAATCTGGCTGAAAAGCTTCTGTTTTGATATGGAAGCTCTTTTTCACACTGTGGAGGCAATTGATCCATACTGGTGTATGTTAGCAGCCCCCACCTGTTTTTATGCCCATATTCCAAAGTTGTGTCCAGTCAGAACAGCAGCAAATGTTGCTTCACGTTTTCTTTTTGACACTCGACTTCTTAACCACAAGGTTGTGTTTGAGCCAGAGGCCTTAATTTGTCAGTTATTTGCTGAGTTGACGTGTCTCTGTGTGGAGGAGGGGAAATGTCGTTTGCTCTCAGAGGTTCCTCATTTGAGCACATAATGAAGGGTCTCTCATTCTGATCCAGTTTATTTCTTTGTATTTACCTTATGCTGTTCCATATTTATACCTCACTGCAACATTCACTGCTGTTAGCGAGCAGACGGGTTAGATTTTTGTAGACTTTGCTTAGCCATGTCCTTATCTGAATGCAAGGTAAAGCTTCCTTTTTTTTTTAATTTTAGGAATTAAATTGTAATATATACAGATCCTTTTTCAGTTAATAAAGAGTTAGTGTATTTTAAAATAAGGAGATACTTTATGTACTTTAATGGGATTATGGAATATTTGTGGTCATGTTAGAGACATTTAGAGGGAGGTTAGCAGACTTAAATGTTTAAATCTGTTCTAATAATCAAAATAAGGAAAATGTGTGCAAATGACATGAAAGGAAAGAATCAGTTCTTACTTCTGTTGCATTACATGATAACATGTTTTGCATTGCTTCTTTTCCAGATTGTTATTTGATAGACATTTTGTTCATACGGCTTTAGCAAAAAAGTGAAAAGAATGTATTCGGTATGGGGGTTTTTGTGTGTATTCCTTTGTCTGCAAGTGAGTCCTAGTACTTTGCGATAATTAACCAAAGGAATTTGAGAGCTGCATGCTTCAGGCAGTGTAGTGGGTTGTGAAATCTTGGAACAATACATTTTAAAGTTAACGTTCATTAAGTTTTAATTATTTATTTTTTTAAATTACTGTCAAGAATTTTAGCAAGTATATTATCTACCTAATTGAGTCTCAATTATTTTAGCTTTCCATTTAGTTAAAGTAGAGGCTTGTAGTTCAGAACTGATGCTGCTTGGAGGGACTGAGCTGACTGGCAGAATGTTTTTGAACACAGGGAAGAAAGTTACTCCTGCTGCACTGATGCCAGAGCTCATTTCAGCTCAGTAAACCCAGGTTTCAGAAGGTCTGTTCTGCAGCAAGTTTGCAGCGCTACTGTTCTTGCATGCTGTGAAGGGCTTTTTTGGATTTTCTTTTTTCTATAAAACTTGCCTGCAGTAGGAAGTAAGCTGCTTCCTGCCTTTAACTGAATGCTGAGGATTTATAGTAGTAGTTAATGCTCAGAAGCCTTGGGTAAGTTTTTTAATGTAAGGATTTTGGAGAGTGAAAATCGGCAAGGTATATTTTAAAGATTTTAAAAATAATTAGTTACTGAATTTTATAGAAAATTATTAAAAGTTGTAGGTGGGCTGCTGGGAAGGGCATGCTAAAATTTCCTTACTGTCCCATGACTGTATTAACTCCAGCAGTCCAGCTGTGCCTGGAACCTGTGTGAAGCTCAGTCCCGCGACGGGTTCTGGTGACCGCTCTGGCTGCGCGAGTGGTGAACGTGGCCTGGCCCGGCCTGCGCCCCGGGTCTGCCCCAGCACCCGCAGCCCGTGTCCCCTCCCTGGGGGGCTTCCCTCAAATGGAGAACGGGCACAGCACGGAGCTGGGAGCTGTCTGTGCTGGTTGCTGTAAGCCTTGGACCCGTGGTAGTTGCACTTGCCTGCAGTTTGCAGGCTGCTGTGCAGAGGCCTCTGCTCGGATTGTTTCTTTGCTAGTAAGAATTGCATGAGGAGCTAAAAACGCTTCAATTCCTTACTCGGGGAAGCTGAAATGAAGAACTGCTCTATACAACTTCTGTACCCACCTGGAGGCGTACTCTGTGCCTGGCTGGCCTGTGTTCTCTTAAGACAATGATTATGAGGAGGATAAGACAGCCTCGTCTCAGAGGGATCTGTGCTTCCTGCTCGGTCACCAGAGTGGGAACTTTCCTCTGGGCAGCGCAGCAGCTTTCGGTAGCTTCTCCGTTTTACTGCAGCTTAGTCTGCGTGCTGCTAGAGTGGGGGCTGCGAGACTAGGAACAGTTACTGAGCTGATGGAAAGAATAGCCTGCCTGTCTGATGAATTAGTAAGTTACTGCTTTGCCAGATGCGCATGTTTAGCAAAACACGTGTGTGTTTCTTGATTGTGGATATGGGGAAAAGGAAGGGATTTTGCCTTTTATTGTAAGAGAAGCAGCAGCCACGTAATTAGCACATATGCTGCATCAAAACCTTGAGGCTTGCGAGTCTTTATGGTGAAATGTGTGGGGAGCCTAGAAGCTTTGCCAATTAAAGCCCCTACATGTGAATGTAGGAATCTACCTGTAAAGGCAGTATCTAGAGAAGCTTAGCTTACAGCTCTGCACCACTTGATTTCCATGCCTGCTGAAAATTATTAATTTGTTTGTATTTCTGCACAGATTGAATATTTCCTTAAAAAACTCACCGAAGCAATGGGAGCAGGCTGGCAGCAAGAGCAGTTTGACCATTATAAAATTGCTCTCAATGCCAGTCGAGAAGGTCTTTCTGCGTGGGAGCTGATTGAGCTCATCGGAAGCGGGCAGTTTAGCAAAGGGATGGACCGACAGACGGTGTCCATGGCAATCAATGAAGTCTTTAATGAGCTCATATTAGATGTACTCAAACAGGTAAGAACCACAGAGAACTAAAGTTTTAAAGTAGACTAATGTATTGCATAATTAGAAAATATTCAAGTTGTACTGAAATTTCTTTATCAGATGAATAATGAGCGGGGGAAAATTATAAAAAAATTACTTACAATGGCTCTTTAATATGAGCTCGTTTTTCTAAAAGAGAGAGAAATTGTGCTGCCATTTAGATTGTAATCATTGCAGTATTATGAATGAATTGCTTGTTGGAAGAGTTTGTTTTCAGAAAGTAAAAGTGTGCTCTGACGTGAAATACAGCCTTTTTTATACTGTGATCAGCTGCTTGTTAGCTGACAGAATAGCTGCAACACGCTGGCAGTTCTTAAACTGGTGACCGCCCTTCAGTCTTGGAAAACGTTTTTTTGGTTGCAGTTATGCTGTAGCAAATATAGGTTGTGCTGATCATAACCTCAGTATTCGAACGCAGGCATCTGGCCAAAAGTATTGCCCCAGCTGAAAGGTCAGCGTGTGAGTTGCCCCACTTCAATAGGGCAAAAAGGGGTGGAGTTGCTCCAGAGCAATTTTGTTCTGCTTAGCCTGCTGCGGGGCTGACTGCTTATGTACCTGCACGTAAACACGAGAAGTCACGCTGGCCTCTATATTCTTAGCGAACCTCTGTCAGTCCTCAGGTTCTTTGAATTTCTGATGGCTGGATTATGAGTTTAGAAATGTCTTTAAAACCTGTGTTTCTTTCATGGGAAGTATAAATATCACGTGGACCTGAGGGGTCACAGCAGAGCTTACTTAGGGAGCTATTTAAAATTGACTTTTACCTGACAGAGGATTTTTTTCATCTTTGATTTCTTGGCTTTTTGGTGGGGAGAGAAACAAAGGCTTTCTTGGCAGGCTTTCCTAAGCTGTTCTGAAGTAATCATTAGAAGGTCTTGGCAGAGGAAATTCTTTTGGAATATCCACAGAACAATGCAAAAGTCTATTTTTGTTAACTGCTGGTTGCCTCTTGGAGGTGAGGGCTGGACACACACACAGAGTCAGTTGAGGGCAAAATGAGGTCATTCTGCTGTTTAATACCATGAAACTAAAATAACCAGTGTCTGGTTAGCCCTTCCACTTGAAACTGAGGAAATGGGATTTCTTTTCAGTTTTGATACTGTGTTGTATCTCTTTCTTCCCTCCCCCCTCCTTTTTTTTTTTTTTTTTTTTTTAACTGACTTCTTTCTTTCCCCTCTTGGTGGCTAGCCCTCTTTCTCAAGGATATCTTGAGTGTGTTTGAATGGTTCCTGGACACTTACGTGTCAAGGTTCGGCCCAGTACCTCCTGTACAGTCACTGGCATAACGGAGAACGGAATTCCCCATGTGACTTAGACAGCTGGTTTGGTCACAGCTTGTACTGTGGTACCGTGTTGATTTACAGAACTGGCCTATTTATTGCAGTGTATCATTACTTCAAGTTACTAATTAGTGAGATACTGTACTGTAGCCAAGTTCCACGCTACCCTTTTTATTGTACACTTCTGGATCTCCAAGGCTTATGGAGGGTAGCAGTGAGGATTGAATTTGTGATGTTTAGTTTTCTGAAAGATGTGTCCTTCATGTGATAGTTGATGTGAAAAGATCTGACAAAGTGGAGTCCTGGAAGATGAGAAGCAGCTAATGCACAGAAATACTAGATAAAGATTTTGCAGAAGTTTGAGGGGAAAATACCAGTTTGACTTGGCTTTGAAAGCAAATCTGGTGTCTCAGGAAGGGTAAGAACAGACTGCAAGGCATGGAAGAGTGGAGCTGCAGGAGTCCTTCACACACCCTTGCGACCACCCGGACCTTGGACCTGAGTATGGAGGCAGCAAACAAAGCTGCTTCTCTGCACATTCCTGTCGTGGAGCAAGGGCATTGGGTAGCAGGCGGGAGCGCGGCCTTGGCTCTGCCCACATTTAACTGGCTAGAAAGGCACAGATGAGCTGTGTGTACTGAGGTAGTAGGTTGGGGGGGGGGGGTTGTTTGTTTGTCTTTTAAACAAAAGAAGTTCAACGGGGGGGGTGTTGGGGGTTGGGATTTTTTGTGGTTTTTATTTCCCTCAGACCTGTACCAAAAGGCACCTTTCACTTAAATATGCCACAGCACATTTATTTGTTTCCTTGTAACCAACATTGCTATAGTTAAAAGGCATTACAGAAAAATGTTCCTTGGTCTCCTTCCCAATTTTTTATCCTCTTAATCTGGAATACATTGAGTACAGTACACACACCACTGATTTTTAATACTGGCCTTCCTTAGAAGTATTCTGGGTGAGTCTTTGTGGTGGCAAACATCTCTGCTTGACTAGAGAATATTAAAGGTCATTAAAGAAGACTGAAGAGTTGTAATAGTGACTTGATAATAGAATAATAATAGTTCAGTTCTTCAGGTAACCCAGTTACTTAAAAACTGGACAGAAGCACAGCAAGGACGTTCTTGTGGGTTAAACACTTCGCAGTGTGCTGCTGTTGGGAGTGGAGTTGTGCAGGTGAAGTGTTTATGGCCTTGAGATAACTTTTCTATGTGCTCTATTGGGCCTTCAAGCCACATACCCAAAAGACCAGGCAGTTCAACAGAGACTGGGAATTTCAGCTGATCCCTTGCTTTTTACAGGGCTATATGTTGAAAAAAGGTCATAAAAGGAAAAATTGGACGGAACGATGGTTTGTGCTGAAACCCAATATTATTTCCTACTACGTAAGTGAAGATTTAAAGGACAAGAAGGGAGACATCATATTGGATGGCAACTGTTGTGTAGAGGTAAAGCAAAAGACCAAAAATTATGAATAAAGTTAAATAATCTTTTTTTTGTGGGGGGGCAATGGAGTCCTGGTGTCTTCTGTTAGTGGATTTTTTTTTTCATTTTATATAGAAATGCTCTTGATAAAAAAGATTCTTAATATTGGTATTTGTAGCTCAGTAGCAGACAACTGCATACGTGGGGCTTGACAATCTAACCTGGATTCTAGTGTTTGCAAGGCTAACCCTTTGTTACCCTTTCTAGGCATTGCCTGACAAAGATGGAAAGAAATGCCTTTTCCTCATAAAATGTCTTGATAAAAGCTTTGAGATCAGTGCCTCTGATAAAAAGAAGAAGCAGGAGTGGATTCAAGGTGAGGTTTCAAAAATCTTAGGTATGTGAAAGCTAAGGTAAGGTGAAGTCTTACAGATGTGCTTTTCACAAATTTGAAATTTCTAGTCTTGTGATTTTTGGTGTCTCTGTTTTGGGCACATGGAAAGGATCTTTAAGGAGCCTGACAGTCAGGAAGAACTAAGGGTCCACATAAAGGGAATTGGGGTTTGTCATTTAGGTGCCTCAATTTAGGCATCTGTAACCGAAGCGAAATGGATATTGCTGTTGTTTGTTTTTTCTGTATTGACTGTACTTCTTGGGATGGGGAAGGGAAGGGGAATACATTGTGAATTGTTGCTTTTGGGGAGACAGGGGAAACTTGTTCATTTCCGCATCGTGAATACTGGCTTTGCTCCTACAGTTCTGCTTGAGGTGGTATGGTTTGGTGAGCTGGGGACAGGGCTGGGAACCGGGGCTTCCTTTTCTGTTCCCACGGTGAAGGTGCTCCTCCTGTGAGACCTTCCCAGCTGTGTGCTGAGCGATAGTTACCCGCATCTTTTGCAGAGTGAGGTAGAAGCCCTTGCAAACCCTCTGTTGCCAAAGCCACTGAAGTATGTACAGCAGTTACATATTTGGAGCTGTGTCTTTTAATTTACACCGCCTTCTTTACCTAAAGCATGTGTTTAATTGCGCCAAAGGCTTGAGGTACAAGTGATTACTTAGTTCCAAAAGGAGATCTTTTTTTCACCGTTGTAGTAGGTGAATAAAAAAGCAAGATTATCTGCTACTCCTCATTTTGCCTCCTGACTGTAAGTGAACGAAAGCTACTGTCTTCCTGGGAGAAAGTTTTCCCCTGGAGCATCAGTAAGAATAAAGGGATTAAGGGTGGTTCTAGGGAAGGAAGTGATGTGTATGTTACATAACATCTTACTGAATGTAGGTAATAAGGAATCTTGAAGTGTTGGGCTTTTTTGCAGCTGGGTTGTACGCGTGACTTGAATTGTCCACTGCCTGTTAGAAGTCAGCGTTAGAATTGACATAACGCATTGGAATTGCCGGGCCTTGTCCTTGCGGCACACAGCCAGTAGTGAAAGCCAAGCGTCTTTCACTTTTGGTTTGCGTTGACAGCTAGCCTGATGAGAATTAGGAGTAGTGACAAGTTATTTCTCATTTAGAAATACATTGAGAAACCCCCAAAAAACAGCAAACACCATCACCACCACAAGTATTAATTCACTGAGGCTATCCAGAAAGTTTAGCATTTCCCTTCACTGGTGCACACTTCCTCTCATTTTGTCTTGCATGCTCCTTTCCAGCCATACAGACCACTGTGAGCCTGCTGAGAGCGGGGAGCCCTCCACCCCACAAAGAAGCACGCCAAAAACGGAAAGAATTGCGCCAGAAGCTGTTAGCTGAGCACGAAGAGCTGGAGCGGCAGATGAAAGAACTGCAGACAGCCAATGAGAACAAGCAGAAGGAACTAGAGACCGTGCGAAAGGTGAGGGAGTAGGAGCTGCTAACCTTCAAGCTTTAAGATCAATTTCTGTGGTTGAGCTGGGCTTCTTGAAGTATAGTTAGGAATTTCTTTCCTGTTCGCATGTTCAGGCACCTTGAGCGAACTCCTCCAGAGGAGGTGAGCTTGTGTTGGCGGCAGCCCCCTGAGCAAGTGGGGCTGCAGTAAAACCTTCAGCACTGGCCAC